TTTTTAAAATGCCACAATAAATCAATAATATTAACAAAAATAGGATGATTTGGTCATGCAAACATTGTAATGGCAAAATATATAAATAGCTCTATATATTTAGACATCAAATGTATCTTGTCTCTTTGATGACAACTGATTATTGAATAAATTGCACTGAAAATAGACTTTTAGTTTTCGTACTGTTCTCACCTACATACCGAGGTGGAGAACTCCATTTTTCCATGTAGCATGTTATCCCATCTTCTCCATATATCCTGAAACCATCTTTGCAAATATAACTTAATTTAGTGCCATGGACATAAAGGCTGGAATTAAAGGTTTCTTCCCTTTCTTCTGAAGAATTAGATGCTCCCATGATTCCATGTTCTATATGAGGTGGTTGAGAACGTGGAATCCTTTCTATATGAAGAACAGAGATCAGAGTCAAGCACAAATACAATGCTTACATGGAAAAGTACAATCAAATATCACTTGAGATTTTAAAATAAGGACAAGGACAATTTGAACTTATTCATTTAAAACTGAAAGTATTTGAAACCTGCAAGGATATACATCTCCATAATATGGATGCTACTAACGTAATGTCTTGTTCAATATACCCCTCATTCTTGTCTTGCTTATCATAAGGAGCAAAATAGGCATAAAAGGAAATTTTATCTCATGTCTACATAGGAACTCAAAGTTCTTGTCTGTGTTCATTTCACAGAAGCAGTGAAAGAATGCTGATTGATTTGTGTACCTAGATTGTAATTCACTGTTTCAAGATAAAGTGGAATATAAAGAAATTCTTCCCCCTTGTTCAATTACAGAAAGTACATGGGAGTGTTAACTTCATTTGAAAGGACATCATAAAGCAGGTTATGCACTACTAACCAACAAAGCATGGTATTGACTGCCATCTTCCATCTTTGATTATGGGTGTTGGGTAGGGAAAGTATACTGTGTGCCTGGAAAATTGTATTGTTCTACAAAGAAAAGAAATGCTCAAAGATTAATAGGGATATAACAAAGCAATCAAAGCTAGTTGCAAGAAGCACTTGCTAGCCAAATTTGGGATAATTTAAGCCTCAAAGAACAATACTATAATAAACTGTAAGAAATTGAATAAAATTCATGAACCCATACTGATATATTTTTCAAAAAGAAAGAAAAGAATCTTCAATGCCATCACAAAAGGTCACCATCCTATAAAGTCCTCACTCCAAACATTGGAAGTTAAAGAGCAATTAGAGAGGGTGACAAAACATGAGAGACTCCTAACTCTAGGAAATGAACAGGGGTAGTGGAAGGGGAGGCAGACGGGGAGAATGGGGTGACTGGATGATGGGCACTGAGGAGGACACTTGATGGGATGAGCACTGGGTGTTATGTTGGCAAATCCAACTTCAATAAAAAATATATTAAAATTTTTTAAATAAAAAATATATCACAAAAAATAAAGAACAAAAATAAAGCTCTACTAAATCTTGTTAGGTGAAAGTTTTTAAGAGAATTGGTAAATTAACACTCATCCTTACACAAGATTAACAATGAGTAAGTGCAGAAAAATTATAAAATTGATCTTTAAAAATCACTATTTTACAACCAATAATGGAAAACTGGTTATAAGCTATAGTAATTGTAGGTTAAGTGTTATAGATTCTGCAAGCATTAGGTGAAAGGTTTTGGACAAAAATATATACACCAATGTTAATATTAATAGCAAAGATAATTTGTCATTTAAACATGAGAAAACGCTGTCATTTGTGATTCAAATTTAGATAGGTTGGTTCCATTGGTGACAGACAAGTTTATCATTTTTTTTTACAAATTTTTATTTAAATTTTAGTTAACATGCTTAGAATGCCATTTGATTTTATGCAATACAAAGTAACAAGATATCACCTTAAAATATTTTGACCACGATTATATATATCCCTTTTTTCATCTTAAATTTTTGTGCTTTTTGTAGAAAATTAAAATGTTTACAGTCAACTGATTTTTTCATTTTTTATTTAAAGTTTTAAATTTAAATTGAATTTGCCAACATATAGTATAATACCCAGTGCTCAACCCATCATGTCCCATCCTCAGTGCCCATCACCCAGTTACCCCATTCCCCACCCACCTTCCCTTCTGCAACCTTTTTTTCCCCAGAGTTAGGAGTCTCTCATGGTTTGTCTCGCTTTCTAATTTTTCCCACTCAGTTCCCCTCCTTTCCCTTATAGTCCATTTCAACTGATTTTAACTAATTATGTGGTATGAAACATATGAACATAAAAATCATATTTCAGTCTGTCATTAAATGTTTCCAAAACCCTCTATACCAGCAAAATCATGAAAATATTTTTGGATCTACAGATCATCACCAAAGAGGTCTTCATAAGTTCTCAACACGTATTATCTTAGTTTTTAATATATCTTTATTCTAAAATAATATAATCATGTGATCCAAAGGTGTTATATGCTAATGATAGAAAAAATGGAGAATACTGTTCAGTATTAAGGAGTTAAATACCAGCTCTGACCACTAATATTTCTAACTATACTATTGTAAATATTCTATAGTACGCCTATTGACCCTTGTTCGATAAACATTTATTCAGTGTTCAAAGCATGGTGTGTGTGTGTGTGTGCATTTACATTTGATACCGAATGTTTTGTCACTTTTCATGTCATGACAGTTATGCAAGCAATTAGATTCTACTTTCTCTTTATGATTTGTTTTAATTTTTATGTGTGCTAGATAGTCATCTTGCAGGAATTCATGCATTTCATCATTTTTTGGTAAGTGTATCTATTGATAGATAAGCAAAAGTAAGTGATAACTACTTATAACTCTTTTTTATTTATTCATGAGGGACATTCTGAGAGAGACAGAGACATAGGCAGAGGGAAAGGAGGCTTACTGCGGGGAGCCTGATGCAGGACTGGATCCCAGGACCCCAAAATCATGACCTGAGCCAAAGGCATATGCTCAACCAACTGAGCCACTCAGGTGCCCCTAATGTGACACTTTTAAGAAGTGATTCATTTGTCTCTTATATTATAATTATACCTTCATATAATATTAATACATATTCTAACATGAATAAAAAATAAACTGAGAATTGGATTAATAATGAAAACTTCTGAATAAATGTACATACTTTAATTTTAGGACTACATTTTAACCACTGTTTTATCCACAAACAGGATACACCAGGTTCCCTTCCTGACAGCTTGCTCGGAATGTATACGCTGGTGTCTTTCTATTATATCCATACATACACAGAAATTCAACAACGTCCCCTATTTTTAAATAAAGTCGTTTTTCGTCAGTCCATCGTAACTGTATTTTATGTGTTCTCATGATTTCTTCTGATGTCACACAGGGGCCTGAAAATACAAAAATAAACATAAAACATTAAGTGGTAAATAAATGTTTTCCCCAGAATTTTGGACTTTCAAGTGGAATCTTCCACACTGGTTGAGGGCTTCATTCTCAAAATCTTTTCTATGCCAACTGATTGAAAAATCCATCATGTAGATTTAAATCATTTTAAACAATTAAGAATGTAAAGATGAGGTATGTGTTTAGTCTCTGATAATTAAATGTTATAATCAAAGATTCATAATGCCAATTATCACATAAAGAGCTTTCATTAAAGACTATTTTGCTTCTTGAACAAGAATTTTTCAAATTTTATTTCCTCACATATTAATATTTGGTAGTCAAGCATTCAATAGAAAGTATGTTAACCCATGAAAATTCTATTATAAATAGCAAAACCTCATATTCATTACACTGACTTTCACAGGATCCATAAGAACATTAAATATTTACCTAAGCATTTTGGTGCTTCCGACCACTGTCCATTACTACATATTATATTCCTGTTTCCCCAAAGTGTATACAAGGCCTGGCATTGATACTCGACTGATGATCCTGGAGCATATACTGGTAATGGCCATGAAATGATTTCTCCATTGGCAATAGGTGGAAGGGGCCCACATTTTCTTTCAGACTCTAAAAGACATGATTAGATTTATTGAAAAGTCAAAGAAAAACAGGTTAAAATGAAACAATAAAAACATAGTACAATACTTAATATCAACACTTGTAATTTCTGCTGACATAAATGACTCACTAATGAAATTTTAATCACTTAAACAGATTCACACTTTTAAGCCCTTTTTATCCTACATGAAAGCACACAGAAAGCATTAACAAATATATCTGCTTCGCAGCACTGTGATATTAAAAATGTTTTTCTTAGTAAATAAATGCTGGATAGATGGATAGTTATTTCAAACAAAGAAACTTTCTTGTTATCTACAACATACTGCACTGTCTATTGGATCCCTTGTTGTTTATTGATTTTCATTTTTATTATAAAATAAACATCAACTTCTTTAATAAAAGTCAAAAAATTACACATCTGTATAATGTGAAAGGGAACTGCTGGCTTCCTGTTCTGGACAAGATGAGGTACAAACATTTCTGCTTATTCCTTCTGCTAAGTATAACTAAAAATCCTAAACATTTTGTAAAATCCAATATAAGAGACTATGAAAGATATAGATAAGTCAATCTTTCAAGGACCTCAGAATTCAAGGAATCACACTGCAGTGAGTTATCTGGGCTTTCATTTTGCCTTCTATGGATCCTGGACTAGGCACTGAAGAAGACTGCAATCCAAAAATAATACCAAGTTCAGGCAAAAAAAAAAAAAAAATATATATATATATATATATGTCCCAAGAATTCCCTTTGTCTCTATTTCTTTTTAAGATTTTATTTATTTATTTGAGAGAAAGAGAGCACAAGCAGGGTGAGGAGGAGGGGAGAAGCAGACTCCCTGCTGAGCAGAGAGCCTGACATGGGGCTCAATCCCAGGACTCAAAGATCATGATCTGAGCCAAAGGCAGCCATTTAACAGACTGAGTCACCCAGGCGCCCCTCCTTTTTATCTCTTTAGACAAAGACTTGGGAAACGAGTAACCTAGCAAAACAAACATTTTTTACAATACTTCAGTTACTTCAGAAAAACATCATAGGAGAAACCTAAAACCACTTCTCTCCCCACCTTGATCCACAGGGGCCAGATGATGAACATGGACTTGTACCCTGCATGGCAGTAATGGGGGACTGATAAATAAAAGACTTCAGTAAAATCCAAAGTCTTAAAACACAATACCCAAAATGTCCAGAATATAACTGAAAATCATTCATCATACCAAGGACCAGAAATATCTAAAAAGGGAAAGAAAATCAACAGAAGACCACACACTGAGATGACATAGATCTTGGAATTATTTGACAATGTTTTTTTAAAATCCTGTAGGAAATACAGAACTGAGAAATATAACAATAAAAAAAATTTTTAGGGGGACACCTGGGTAGCTCAGCCACTGATCATCTGCCTTTGGCTCAGGTGTGATACTGGGATCCAGGATTGAGTCCCACATCAGGATCCCTACAGGGAGCCTGCTTCTCCCTCTGCCTGTGTCTCTGCCCCCCCCCTCTCTCTCTCACTGTGTGTGTGTGTGTGTGTGTGTGTGTGTGTGTGTTTCTCATGAATAAATAAATAAAATCCTTAAAAAAAATGTTTAGGGATGCCTGGGTGGCTCAGTGGTTGATAGTCTGCCTTTGGTCAGGTCATGATCCTGAAATCTGGGATTGAGTCCTACACTGGGTTCCCTGCAGGGAGCCTGTTTATCCCTCTATGTCTCTGCGTCTCTGTCTGTGTCTCTCATGAATAAATAAATAAAATCTTTTTTTTAAAAAAAAAGATTTAAGCTTCTATGAAAATAAGAGTTTTATGGATTTTCCCCATGAGTTTACTAAAATCAATATTACAAATCATATCAATTTATAAACCACAAGCAAATCATAATAAAAATATTATTTGACATCAAATTTTGGCTTATAGTCATATATTTATGCAGATAATTTTAGGCTCTTAAAAAATTAAACAGAGTAGATACTTCCTTAGAGAATAAATCAAGAATTAACACACTTTGAAGAATACTGTATAGTTGAAGGATGAAGATGATTTATTGAGGATCCAAACAGGAGATATGGAAAAATAACAGAAAATCAAATACGTAATTTATAAAAATACTCTCCAATGATTTTTTTTTGGCAAATGCTTAAGGACACTGTAATGAGTATTATGTAATTCATCACTGAGATTCAGGTAGATGTAAAGTGCAATTAGCTATAGCCGTGGCCCCTAAACTAGAGTGTACATCAAATCCCTTGGGAATTATTAAGTCATTTTTAGATTGCATGACCCAGGTTTTTTGCTCAATAGGTCTGAATGAACCTGAGAATTTGCATTTGCATTTCTATCAATTTCTCAAAAGATGCTGGTGCTGCCATTCCAGAGATCACTTTGAGAATCACTGGGTTATAAGATTAACCAGTGAGTATACAATCTCATTCCTTTATGCTAAGGCATAAAATGTCTTTGTTCTGGCCTAAAAAAATCATCTATGTCCATTTTTTAATGATGCTAGAGGTAATTCTACATTTTATTCTTAAATACTCTAATAAATAGATTTCATTAAAGTACCTCTGCATATTGTCCTTCCTATCCAGTGGTTAATACACTGTACAATATTGGATCCAATCCAATTGGTAATATTGTGAAAACATTTTTAAGATTTTATTTATTTATTTGAGAGAGACAGGGAGAGAGCACAAGTGGGGGTGGGGGGACAGAGGGAGAAGCAGACTCCCCACTGGGCAAAGAGTCCAATGTGGGCCTGGATTCCAGGAGCTTGGGATCATCACTTGAGCTGAAGGCAGATGCTTAACCAACTGAGCCACCCAGACAGCCTATTTTGGACATTTATAAATCACTTTTTCTCCTGATCTGTATGATTCCTTCTTTGGGCCTATGAGTATAGCATCCTACTCATAGGTAAACTAGAACAATAAATTTCTGAAAGAAAAATAATAGGTACTCGTTCAGTAAATCTTTAAGAACACAGAATGGCCAATAACTATAATCTAAAATAACAGGTACATATCAAACCAGTGAATACTGCACAAAGTTTTTCTTATAACTTGAAAAAAATATGTTAGAAGTCTTGACTTAATTAAATTAAATGGTTCTTCTTGTTTTGTTTCCTCTTTAAGTTTTTAATTTAAATTCTAGTTAGTTAACATAAAGTGTAATATTGGTTTCAGGAGTAGAGTTTAGTGAATGGTTCTATGTTTACCTAAAGTATAACAGGGTGATGGTGATATAAAAAGCCTAAAGAAATACGGACAAGAAATACGGACACATGTAACGCTAGAGATCATACTTCTTACATTTGAATTCTTTTTTGCCCATATGAGCCATCTGCCTAATGCATGTATTTCTCATTTTGCTTCTGTTAAAATCTGCTTCCTTTAATTATGTCAAATATCTTAGAAAATCATAATAAGGAAGTAACTAACAGTAAATTGAGCCATGATGTGATTGAGGAGCTGTGATACAGGAACATAGAATAGAAGACTGAGAATGTGTATCAGAAGTTATCCTAAGTGCACATAAGATGACATGAAAGTGAAATAATTTGGTTCATGTTGCTAACCTTTTATTATTAGGGCTAATTCTCTACCAGAATCCCAAACTTCCCAGAGATACCAGTTAAAGTCTAGTATTACTGCCTAGCTTCATACTTGTACCATTTAGGCTCTGAACTAAGGATATTCATCAGCCTAGGGTAAAACTAAAGGCACTATATTTATGCATTCTGGTGGATGGGACCATTTTTCTCCTAAGTATTTTACAAATGCAGGTCCATTAATCCCAAAACCCTCAGCACAGCTGTGACTTCTTACTCCATACTGTAACTACCTAATATGTGAGGTAGAACTATCATGCATAATCAAATATGGTAGCTAACAAGGAAGTCCTTTAAAAAAAATGAAAAAAATTACTCCATGTTTAACAAACTCTGAAATTTAATTTTATGTATTGGTTGTTATATTTTGTAGTTTTATTTAAAAAGAAATTATTGGGGTGCCTGGGTGGCTCAGTTGGTTAAGCCTCTGCTTTTGACTCAGGTCACAATTCCAGGGTCCTGGATCAACCCCCATATCAGGCTCCCTGCTCAGCGGGGAGCCTCCTTCTCCCTCTCCCTCTGCTGCTCCCCCTGTTTGTGTTCTCGTGCTCTCTGTCTCTGTCAAATAAACAAAATCTTTTAAAAGATAAAATAAAGGGGATCCCTGGGTGGCTCAGCGGTTTAGCGCCTGCCTTTGGCCCAGGGCGCCGTCCTGGAGTCCCGGAATCGAGTCCCCCCGACAGGCTCCCGGCATGGAGCATGCTTCTCCCTCCACCTGTGTCTCTGCCTCTCTCTCTCTCTCTCTCTCTCTCTCATGAATAAATAAATAAATAAAATCTTTAAAAAAAGATAAAATAAAAAGAGATGATTACATAGGAGCTATGATCATATCACAGAAAAGACATACAAATGCTTCCTAAAACCAGTACTCTCTCTGGTTGTGTCCAGCTGCCGACCTGAGCAAGAACTTGAAACTAGCAATGTCAATATATTCATGAAAGAGACCTTCAATGCTTCCCAAACCAATGATGAGTAATAAAAGGAAAAGCATTGAGAATTAATTATCTTAAGAAAAATACCATACATTGTAAGAAATCAGAAGAGATATTGTAGGAAAAACAAGAATTTTTTTAAAAAACCTCCTGGCAAACCAAGCAATACAACTTACAAGAAGAGAATGTGAAAGGTAAACTTATATGAATAGGTAGACTTAGTATACCTAATCATGTAGACTTAGTGTCACTACATTTCTAGTTTTAATTTTTTAAATACCATAATTAAAAGTGATTCTATAATGAACAATAAAATTAACAAAAATAGGACTGATTTGATAATGCAAAAAAGTGGGTTTGGTAAAATACATAAAAATGATTTTAAATATTTAGATATAAGTGATTTTATATATTTAGAAACTTAAAGGATTCAGTCTCATGACTTTTATGACAATTGATTACATTTAATTGCATTGAAAATAGGATTTTACTTTGCATACTGTCCTCACCTACACACCGAGGTGGAGAACTCCATTTTCCCATGTAGCATGTTATCCCATCTTCTCCAGATATCCTGAAACCATCTTTGTAAATATAACTTAATTTAGTGCCATGGACATAAAGGCTGGAATTAAAGGTTTCTTCCCTTTCTTCTGAAGAATTAGATGCTCTCATGATTCCATGTTCTATATGAGGTGGTTGAGAACATGGAATCTTTTCTATATGAAGAACAGAGATCAAAAAGTCAAGCACATATACAATGCTTACATGGAAAAGTACAATCAAATATCACTTGAGATTTTAAAATAAGGACAATTTAAACAAATTAAATAATTTAAAACTGAAATATTTGAAACCTGCAAGGATATACATCTCCATAATATGGATGCTACTAACGTAATGTCTTGTTCAATATACCCCTCCTTCTTGTCTTGCTCATCATAAGGAGCAAAATAGGCATAAAAGGAAATTTTATCTCATGTCTACATAGGAACTCAAAGTTCTTGTCCATGTTCATTTCACAGAAGCAGTGAAAGAATGCTGATTGATATTTGGACCTAGATTGTAATTCACTGTTTCAAGATAAAGTGGAATATAGAGAAAGGCTTCCTCTTGTTCAATTACAGAAAGCACATGGGAGTGTTAACTTCATTTGAAAGGACATCATAAAGCAAACACTGCATTACTGACCAACACAGGGTGGTATTGATGCCATCTTCCACCTTTACACACAACTTCTTCTGAATCCTGAATTACATAATCTTCTTGACAGAGAATGGATATTTTTCCTCCATCCTGGTAATTCACTGTGGTTGTCATATCTTGAGCATTGGGAATCTGAGGTGGTGGTGGACATGACTGTGTTTGTAGCTCTAAAAATATTCAAATTAGATTTCTTGATTAAAAACCATAAGTTAAAAATATCAAAGGGATAATTAAACAGAAAACTCAAAGTGATGTAATCATAAATGATCAAATAATAAGGGCATGTTCTGGATTTTAATATGTGATACTCGGGCAGCCCAGGTGGCTCGGTGGTTTATCGCCACATTCAACCCAGGGCCTGATCCTGGAGACCTGGGCTCCCTGCATGGAGCCTGCTTCTCCCTCTACCTATCTCTCTCTCTCTCTCTCTCAAATAAATAAATAAATAAATAAATAAATAAATAAATAAATAAATAAATAAATAAAATTTAAACAAATATGTCATACTCTTCAGCTTGTACAGTATATCATGTTTGGCTTATTCTCACGGGTTTCTTTGTACTTTCCTCCTTTTATTCTTTCTGTGATCAATCTTGAATAGTTTATATAAAATCTCTTAATTCTTTCTAACCATTAGGATGTTCTAGCTGAATTACTCAGTATCAGGCATTAAATAAAGATTGATATCAAGATCTTTTTTACAGATATCCATAATCAAATGGGTTGGGACTGGATTAAAGCCTGAGTGGCTCAGGGGTTAAGTGTCTGCCTTAGCTCAGGGCATGATCTTAGGACCCAGGATCGAGTCCCACATTGGGCTCCTTGCAGGGAGCCTGCTTCTCCCTTTGCCTATGTCTCTGTCTCTGTGTGTGTGTGTCTCTCATGAATAAATAAATGAAATCTTAAAAAAAAAATCTCAACTATCATAAGATAGTCTACCAAAGCAGGATCATTAAGCTACAGGAAGAGTTACATTTAGTTAATGATCAATTGATTTGATACAAATTCTTGACCCAGATAAGAATGACATATGTTCACTAGTGACTTAATGCATTGCTTAAAATCCAAAGCTCCCCTGGAGGTACCATTCACTAGCTTGCCCATGCTGTTTAAAGATATTTAGACTAATGAACAGTTTAATGGATTAGACAGCCTGCCCTTTAGTTACACAACCAGTGGGATATAAAAGACCTCTCTGTAAACCACTGTCTGAACTCCTATAAAACTGACACCCCAGATATATCAGGACAGTCAATAATTAGAAGGCAAAGCGGGTCCTGTTCAACTGAGAGTAAAACTGACACCCCAGATATATCAGGACAGTCAATAATTAGAAGGCAAAGCGGGTCCTGTTCAACTGAGAGAAGACTCTTGATGACTAGACCTGGAAACTTTTGGATCTCTCTACGATTTCTTGATTTTGCTTTCTCCTGTAACACCATATCCTTATTTCATTAAAAGCTTTCTGTGAGAGGCAACTGGGTGGCTCAGAGGTTAAGCATCTGTCTTTGGCTCAGGGTATGATCTCGGTCTAGGGACTGAGTCCCGCATCGGGCTCCCTATGAGGAGCCTGCTTCTCCCTCTATCTCTCTGTCTCTCTCTCTCTTGTCTCTCATGAATAAATAAATAAAATCTTTTTTAAAAAAAGTTTTCTGTGAGGGGTACCTGGGTGGCTCAGTTGTTGAGTGTTTGCCTTTGGCTCAGGTCATGATCCTGGGGTCCTGGATCAAGTCCCATTTCAGGCTCCCTACAGGGAGCCTGCTTCTCCCTCTGTCTATGTCTCTGTCTCTCTGTGTGTCTCTCATAAATAAACAAAATCATAAAAATATTTTTTAAAAAGTTTTCTGTGAGTATACACTTGGAAATCTTTCAAATCCTTTCAGTTGTCTACATTTTATATTCAATTCAGGGAAATATTTGAGTAAACTTCATTCATGCTACTATATTGCATCAAAAATATGTTTCCTGGGATCCCTGGGTGGCGCAGCGGTTTAGCGCCTGCCTTTGGCCCAGGGCGCGATCCTGGAGACCCGGGATCGAATCCCACGTCAGGCTCCCGGTGCATGGAGCCTGCTTCTCCCTCTGCCTGTGTCTCTGCCTCTCTCTCTCTCTCTGTGTGTGTGACTATCATAAATAAATAAAAAAAAAATTTAAAAAAAATAAAAAAAAAAAAAAAAAAAAAAATATGTTTCCTTGGGGTACCTGAGTGACTGAGTCAGTTAAGCACCTGTCTTCGGCTTAAGTCATGACCCCAGGGTCCTGGGATCGAGCCCCAAGTCAGGGTCCCTGCTCATCAGGGAGTCTGCTTCTCTCCTTCTACCCCTCCCCCTCTTTAGTCCGCCCCCCCATGCTTTTGCTCTCTCTCTCTCAAATAAATAAAATATTTTAAAAATATTTTTTGTTATATTTAAGTATCTTAGCAGATTTTTTTCAATGTATTCTCTTCTGTGTCTGATATTTAACCATTTTTTGTCCTAATAATATAAACTTGTACTTCCACTTGATAAGTCTTGCCAGAGGTTAATGTATTTACCAAATTTCTCTAAAAGTTTTATTATTCTGTAAACCAGATGTTTATGCTTTTTTTAGCTTGTTATAACAATTTATGCTTTAATTGTTCATTCCTTCCAAGTTCTTTGGGTGCATGTTCTTTTCTCAATTCTAGATGGTAATTCCTATTGCTTTTATTATGCTCCTTGTTTAATAATGCATGGTTTAAAGCTATAGATAACTTTGCTTTTGCTGTATCCCATAGATTTCAATGTATAATATCAGTCATTTTATGGAAAGTATTTTCTGTTATTTCTAATATTAACTACCCATTTCATTTCTCTGAAATTTTTATGGAAGTGAAAAGATCAGAATAACTAAACAATTTTGAATAGCAAGAACATAATTGAAGAATACAAATCAGACTTCAAGACTTATTGTAAAGCTATGGTTACCAAGGTAATGTGGCAGGAATAGAGATAGATAAATGGATACATGGGCTGATAGTCTAGAAATAGATCAATACTTACATAGGTGACAGATTTTGATGTCAAAGTCTTTTCCACACATATTGCTAGAACTTGTATCTATAGAAATATTTTTAAATCAAACCCTCTTTTACATCAAACTCAAAAATATAAGATGGATGATATACCTAAATATAAATGCTACATCTATAAAGCTTCTAGAGTTAATATAGAGCATGTATGTATGCTTCATTGCATGCAAATATTTATTTCCTTTTTTAAAAAAACTAAAAATATGTTGAATTGTTGATAGTAGATTGGGTTTTTGTACTGGTATGACACTACTTTCTATGTATTCTAGGCTTGAGAAAATTGGTTAAAATATTGAGGATAGTGATATAAGGTGTCCTACAGAGAAAGAAGAGAGATACAAAATGTGAAAAGTGGAAAACTGGAGTAATGCCTGTACTATTCAATTGGAATTGGTAGCGTTTAATAGGATGCAGAGCCTTCAATATACACAAACACATAAATTAATAGATGATTAGAGAGATACATGCATACAAACACGTGTAGATACATAAGTGGATATATAGATAGATACATAGATACACACTAATTACAGGCATAAGTATAGGCATAGGCACATTTGTGTATAATAAAAGGACTTAAAAGCAATGGTGTTCCAATAGTAATGAGTACATCTACTGCCCAGATGTTAACTTAAAGCCAAGTTTCTAGGTGGTTTGTTACATAGCTGACTAATATACATGATACAATCAATATTTGGAAACAGTGTTTTGGTTATTTTTAAATTGCCTTCCAGATTGAAAATTATTTGTAATAACAAATAGCTGATTTTTTAAGACACAAAGATCATTTTTTATAAGCTAGAAAGAAATCAAATAAATTCTTGAACACGTTATGAAAGATTACCTGTGCAGGCTACTTCAGGATCCCATCTTCCATTGATGCAGATTGAGTGTTTGTGCTCTGATCTTCCACTACATTTGTAACTTATGTTGGTGTTATGATCAAATTCAACCACCTCATAGCCAGATAACTGTGATAATTTACACTTCCCACTGTCATTTGTTGCTGTAAAATTAAAACATTCCCTTGAAAAAACTAATTTTAAAAATCAAAACAGCTACTACATTAAAAATAGCTATAGAGAGCTGGAACAAATAATCCCAAAACTTATATGGAACCAGAAAAGTCCCCAAATAACTAAAGGAATGTTGGAAAATAAAAGAAAGCTGGTTGCATCACAATTCCAGACTTCAAGCTCTGTTACAAGGCTGTAATCATCAAGATAGCATGGCACTAGCACAAAAACAGAAGATACATGCAGAAGGATGAAACTGGGCCATTTCCTTACACCATACACAAACTCAAAACGGATGCAAGACCTAATTGTGAGACAGGAATCCATCAAAATCCTAGAGGAGAACACAGGCAGCAACCTCTTTCACCTCAGCTGCAACAACTTCTGGCTAGACACATCTCCAAAAGCAAGAGAAACAAATGCAAGAATGAACTACTGGGACTTGATCAAGATAAAAAGCTTTTACAAAGCAAACAGTTGACAAAACCAAAGACAATGGACAGAATGGGAGAAGATATTTACAAATGTCTTGTCAGATAAAGGGCTAATATCCAAAATCTATAAAGAATTTATCAAACTCAACACCCAAAGAACAAATAATCCAATCAAGAAATGGGCAGACGACACAAAGAGGCATTTCTTCAAAGAACACATACAAATGGCCAACAGACACATGAGAAAAAAAACTCCATATCACTCAGTATCAGGGAAATACAAACCAAAACCACAATGAGATACCTCCCTCACACCAGTCAGAATGGCTTAAATTAACAAGTCAGGAAATGACAGATGTTGGTGAGGATGTGGAGAAAGGGGAACCCTTGTAAACTGCTGGTGGGAATGCAAACTTGTGCAGTCACTCTGGAAAACACTATGGAGGTTCCTCAAAAAGTTGAAAATAGAGCTACCCTATGACCCAGCAATTGCACTACTAGGGACTTACCCCAAAGACACAAATGTAATGATTCGAAGGGGCACCCGCACCCCGATGTTTATAGCAGCAATGTCCACAATAGTCAAACTATGGAAAGAGCCCAGATGTCCATCAACAGATGAATGGGTAAAGAACAGGTGTTACACACACACACACTGGAATACTACTCAGCCATCAAAAAAAATGAAATCTTGCCATTTGCAACAATGTGAATGGAACTAAAGGTATAATGCTAAGCAAAGTAAGTCCATTAGAGAGAGACAATTATCATATGATCTCACTCATGTGGAATTTAAGAAACAAAACAGAGGACCATAGAGGAAGGGAGGAAAAATAAAACAAGATGAAATCAAAGAGAAAGACAACTGTAAGAGACTCTTAATCATAGGAAACAAACTGAAGTTTGCTGGAGGAGACGGGGCTGAGGGGATGGGGTAACTAGAGGATCCTAAGCAAGCTCCATGCCCAGCTCATGGCCTGATGCTGGGCTCAATCTCACAACCCTGAGATCATGACCTGAGCTGAAATCAAGAGTCAGATGCTTAACCAACTGAGGCACCCAGGAGCTCTGAAGAGGCGTATCTCCAGAGAAGACATACAGACAGCCAACAGATACATGAAAAGATGTTCAACATCCCTAATCATCAGGGAAATGCAAATCAAAACCACACAATGAGAGAATACTTCACATCTGTGACTATTATCAAAAAAAACAAGAAATAACAATGTTGATGAGGATGTGGAGAAAAGGAATCCCTTGTGCACTGCTGGTGGGAATATAAATTGGTACAGCCGCTTTGGAAAACTGTATGGAGGTTCCTAAAAAATAAAAAAAAGATAAATACCATATCATTTACTTATATGTGAAATCTAAAACAAAACAAAACAAAAGCTAATGGATACAAAGAATAAATAGGTAAATACCAGAGATGGGGGTGCAGGTGGGTGAAATGGGTGAAGGGAGTCAAGATACAAACTTCCAGTTATAAAATAAATACATCATGGGGATGTAATATACAGCATAATGACTATAGTTAACATACTTTGCTGTATAATTTTAAGTTACTAAGAAAGTAGATCTTGAGGGGTGCTTGGGTAGCTCAGTTGGTTAAGTGTCTGACTCTTGATTTCTGCTCAGGTTATGATCTCAGGGTTATGAGCTCTAGCTCTGCCTTGGGCTCCATGCTGGGCATGGAGCCTGCTCAAGATTGTCTCTCTCCCTCTCCCTCAGTCCCTCCCCCATTCCTGCTTGCATGCATGCTTTCTCTCGCTCTCTCTTTCAAAAAAAAAAGTAGATCTTGAAAGTTATCATCACAAGAAAATGATGTAACTATGTATGGTAATGGATGCTAACTAGACTTACCACGATCATTTCACCGTGTATACAAATATCAAATCCTTACCTTGTACACCTAAAACTAACATAATACTATATGTCAACTATAAATATATATATAAATTAAAATACACCCAAAAAAGAAATTGATTGTTTAAAGGCATGAACTGTTTTCTGTATATACTCTTAGAATCTTTGAGAAGCTATTTTTTACCTGATCATCTTATAATCCAATAATATTATGATGCCATAATAATAAATTTTTGCTTGTTTCAATATGTTATGCATGGACTATAGAAGCTTTTCATATAGCTACCTATTTTAATAATTCAATAAAAATGGGAGCCCTTTTAGAAGTGGATAGAATCTCTTTGTAGGTCTTTGCCAGTATCTGTTAATGGTTTAAAAAGCAGAGTCCAGTGAGGATGAACAGAGTGAAGTCAAAACAAACTAGAGGTCCAAGGCTTGGTCCTATTTTTAGAATTGTTCCAAAGTGCTGAAGAAGATAAAACAAGGTATTCTTCAAGGGAAGGTAATGGAAGGAAGATCTACAGTCAGGAGGGCTGGTGGTGGTGGTTGTCATGTTCAATCCTTGAAAGGATTTCTTTATTAGAAGAAAATAAACATATGGAGAAGAATGAAAGAAAGAGTGGAGGTCAAAGTAAACATTGAGAGGGAAAAATTGAATTAAACCTAAGATAGTTGAAAAGGTTCTATTAAATTTAGTATAGGTAGAGGATTCACATTAAGAAAGCAAAATCACAGCAGGGGAAAGCAGTCACCAAAGCAGATGTTTTGGCATAAGTTATAATGAAAAGCTAAGAGTTGTCATACCTAAGACTACCTTGGGTTTTTCCCTCCATATGAAAGAAATGAGGTGAGATCATTTGGAGGGATAGAACACAAAACTGAGGTTTGGTCCTGGAAATCCCTTTGTCAGGAATGTGTTTAGCAAAAATGGGTTCCTAAGCAACAAAATGTATTGATCTATTTAACAAACCTCTATCAAATATCTCCTGTGTCAGCAAGTCTTCTGAGTATTGGGTAGAAATCGCTGCTCTCATGGAGAGACTGAGTCTAAGCTCTAGCTTCTCCTGGGATTAATAAATGTCTAGAAATCAGATGAACAAATAAGACTGGACATCCAGGGCTCTCTCTGAATGTAGAACCCAGAAAAACTCTTGGAAAAAAACTCATTAAAGGGAAAAGTGAAAGAGAGTCCCCAAGGTTCTCCATGTTGGGCCTTGAAGGAAGGGATGATTTTAGAGAATCAGAAATTTTTTTCCCTGGGCCACCTTCAGCTGCCTCCCTCCACTACTACTGACTGCTACCCACCCACCCTCCAGCACATGGACTTCTTTTTGCTGCATTTGAAACAGGCTGAGGAATCATCGTTAGAAGCTTTGAGAGAGGCAAGACTCATATGGAAGTGGAGCAAATGGGTATTTTCTCAACTTCATTTCTTTGTTTCCCAGGGCCTGAAAGAAGGAGTGCCATATAAAAACAAAAATGGTATTTATGCAAAGATAGTTATATTTTCCTGGTAATTAGGACTCATGTGTTAATCATATATATATATATATATATATATATATATATATATATATATCTGCAAGTAAGATTTAGCTTCACATTTTTTTTAAGATTTTATTTATTTATTCATGACAGACAGAGAGAGAGAGAGAGAGAGAGAGAGAGAGAGAGAGAGAGAGGCAGAGAGACAGGCAGAGGGAAAAGCAGGCTCCATGCAGGGACCCCGGTGTGGAACTTGATTCCCCGTCTCCAGGATCACACCCCGGGCTGAAGGCGGCACCAAACCGCTGGGCCATCAGGGCTGCCCTAGCTTCACACTTATAAACGATGTTAACATCAGGAACAGAAAGATTCCTAAATTCAATTGCTAGTTTATATTTTTCCTCTGCAGATACATAGTGAACTATAAACCACAAATGTTTGAATTCTTTATAAGACCTGACATCTCCACAATCTCTAAATTTCAAAAATATTGTTAGGCTTGCGTATATCAAGAAATGCTATTCTCACCAACACACTGAGGAAGTTGGGTCCACTTTCCTCCAACACATGTAACTGATCTGTATCCAGTCAATGTAAATGTTTCTTTGCAATTGAACTGCAGCGAATCTCCATGGTGATAGGGAGGGGCAGAAGACCCAAGAGCATAGCCATAAGCAAGTCCAGGTGTATTTCCACATGTCCTGGCCTCTGTAAAAATTTCACAAAAACGTGTTTATCTTTAAAATACAATTTATGTGGTTATATGAATACAAACAAAAAGTACTGATTTAATCAAGTGTGAAGATTCATGATTTTTATACATTACCAATACATAGAGGCAAGGTTGTCCATATTCCATCCACACACTGAATTTTATTAGGACCCTTCATCAAAAATCCAAGGTTGCAAACATAGTCCACCACTTCGTCGTGTTCATATTTTTCTTTCTTTGTTTCATTAACTGCCCCATTGGTGAGTTGAGGAGGTGTACCACACGATTTTACTAGCTCTACAGTAGAAATACTGTGTAAATTGTGGTAACAGTGTCTATTTTATAACTTAAAATCCACCAAAATGGAGAGATTTTTTTAATCAATTTATTATTCATTACATAATTTATTATAGCATTCTTAAGCAACAAAAAAATGATGTTTACAACAAATTCATTTCCCAGTTCTATTACTTATATTGAACTAGCCTATTAGAAGTATATTCCAGCCTTGAAAATACATTTCAATACATAAATCTGGCTAAAGATGTGCAAAACTGATAAACTGAAAATTAGAAAACATTATAAACTAAAGGCCCAAATAAAAGAAGAAATATAGATCCAAAGATTTGATACTGTTAAGATATCAATTTTCCCCAATGATTTATAGATCCAGTATTACCCCAATCAAAATCGCTGCAGGTTTTTTTGTAGAAATTGACAAACTGATTCTAATAGTCACATGGACATGCAAAGAACCTAGAATAGCTTAAAAAACGAAAAAGAAGAAGTTTGAAGGACTAACATGATGTGATTTCAATACTTATTACACAGCCACAGTAATTAAGAAGCTGGGTTTGGGCATTAAGATTAATGGGGAAAAAAAAAACCAGAATGGAGTTCAGAAATAGACTCACAGATATCTATTATCAACAATTGATTTTTGACAAAGCTACAAAAGGCAATTCAGGGGAAAATGATTGTTTTTTTCTACGAATGATGTAGAACAATTGGATATACATATACATATCAAATCAGAGCTGTGTAATAAGTATTACATCTCATACTTATATCGCAATTACAAAAATTAACTAAAAACACACCTAAATGTAAAACCTAAAACTTTAGAAAACATAAGAGAACATCTTTGTGAGCTGATATTAACAAAACGTCTTAGATGTGACACATAAAAAAATTAAACACACAAAAAATATTTTCTAACTACCTTACAATCCTATAAACATAAGAAACTTCAAGGGTGGATTAAAAACCTCAGTAAAGCCCTGACTTTAGTTTTGAAAGTGTAGTTCAGACAAATGGGAAAAGTAGCAAAAAAATATATCTAATGATCTAGATATTCTAAAGATGTATTAAAACCAATTAGTAAATATGGCTGTACAAGTGTATTAATATTCATATTGCAGGCAACATTTCATCAAAAAAAATTTAAGTATCATCATTTGAGATAAGAGACAAGCACTTGATCAACATATTTTAACTGATTAAGCCATACATGTGTTTGAATTGACCAAAAGTTGCTTAATATTGTTTAGACACAATCAATGAAATGAGTTTAGGCCAGTGCTATTAAAAAGGTCCAATACTAATGGCAGAATTATAGGCAAAAAGAAAAGTAACAAATATCTCTCCAATGTCAGACACCCTATAAACACCTGTGGATACTTCCACCACATATTTCAGTAAACAATTGGAGGTTAATTTCTTAAATAAGGAAACCTGAAGTATCTACTACCCAGCACACGTCCTTCATGAGGTATATCTCTGGCTTAATGCATTCGGTTATAGATACACTGGAAGCCAACAGAAAATTAAGAGGAGGGGAAAAAGGTTGCTATCCAAAATTCTAACTCTTACTTCAGCAATTGTAGGATAAACACTCACCTTTACATGTTGGAAAATTAGGGGACCATCCAAAGTAGTAACACTGAACTGAATCTGGTCCAACTCTTGTTAATCCTCTGCAGGAGAATTTCAACACATCTCCAACTTTATATTTGTCTTTCTTGGGGTCAACAATTAAGTATTTTTCTATTTGGGGAATCCTGCAGTTGCTTTCTAAAAAAAAAAAGTAAAATTTAATAAGAATACATAATTAATAATTGCCAAAATCAATTTTACATGTGTCATGTAGTAATGAGGGGCAAGGTATTGCATATACAGACGGGCTTCAGAATCTATCTGAAGAATTTATCTTCTTTGAAAGCTGTTACATATTAGATTTTATATACCCTCTAAATCCATACAGGATTCTGAGAAATAGTAAGGCATTAAACAGCAATAAATGTGTCCTAAAAATTTATTTGTAAAGTCAGTGTCCCTATACTGGATCTGATTTTATCACTTACATTGATAAAATTTAATGTTATATTTTTTTATTCTCTCAAAAAAGAAAATCATTGTCTTACATTAAAAAAAAACTAGTGCTATAATTTTTAAACTAAACATTTAAGTAAAAATTTGGCATTTTTGTTTAATATAATTGGGGACCTAGAACTCTAAAGAGAAACATTCCTAATGTATTTTAGCTAGAGAAAAACTTAAAAGGCTTACACGATACTTTATAAGTGAAGAAATCAAACTTACAGAAACACAAAACAAAATGAAGAAATGTGTTCAAATCCACATATTCTAGTGTCGTGAATATTTATGCAATATACAACTATCTATTCTTATTATACTATAATTATAGTAACTATTAATAAATTGTTTTTTAATAAAAAATTGTTCTGATTCAAATTAGAAAGGTGTAAAACTATTCCTTAAAATTTGTGATATTTGAGACATTGCTAAGTACCATCAAAAACTGAATTTTTCTTTTTTTTTTTAAAGAGATTTCTTTTTTTTTTTTAATTTTTATTTATTTATGATAGTCACACACAGAGAGAGAGAGAGGCAGAGACATAGGCAGAGGGAGAGGCAGGCTCCATGCACCGGGAGCCTGACGTGGGACTCGATCCCGGGTCTCCAGGATCGCGCCCTGGGCCAAAGGCAGGCGCCAAACCGCTGCGCCACCCAGGGATCCCAAAAACTGAATTTTTCTTATTAGAAATCCTATCTTGCTAATTAATTTATAAGATTAAAAATTGAAATTTAAAAATTAGAATCATACTAAAAAGAGTATTCATACTATCTAGAAGTATTAACACATAATCATAAAATTAGATGTAAGATAACCATTTTTAAAAGTAATGCCACAAAAAATAACTTTGCAAATTTGCTTTTGTTTTAATGTTGAGTTTTGTAGCTTAGATTAGAAGGTCACACTTGAGAACTTCAGGGATTCTCTCCTAAAATTCTATTCCAATCTTCTATGTAGCAATTCTTTTATTTGTTTGTCTCTTTGTTTATATACTTTGTGCTTATTTCATCTCATCAGGTTGTGAAAAATGCTGCCCTAATAACACCAAATAATAATAATAAATACAAATCTTAGCTATTGGCTATTTTCCAATTATTCTATTCATATAAAGATAATGACTATTTTTTTTAAGATTTTACTTATTTATTTGAGCAAGAGAGAGCACAAGCATGGGGAACAGCAGGCAGAGGGAAAAGCAGGCTCCCCACTGAGGGTGAGCTGAATGCAGGGCTTGATCCCAGGACCTAGGTAGCCTGACCTGAACTGAAGGCAGATGCTAATCAGCTGAGTCACCCAGGCACCCCAGATAATGACTTTTAAAATGTAATATAAAGAAGAGTTTGAATGGGCACACCCTGAATTAGAGATATCTGTCTTTATTCAAAAGTCAAAATGATAAATCCAGGCACTGATACTTGGAAATGCTAGTTCAAATTTTTTTAAGTGTACATTTATTTAAGATTGCTGGAAACATGTGTGTTGGAAACATAATTCTTTTTTATATTTTATTTATTTATTTACTTATTTATTTGAGTGAGAGAGCAGGGGGAGAAGCAGAGGGAGAGGTACTCTGAGCATGGAGCCCAACACAAGGTCAATCCCTACCACCCTGAGATGAGGACTTGAGCAGAAGTCAGACATTTAACTGACTAAGACACCCAGGCACCCAACAATAATTCTTTGGAAATCTCTCCCCAAAGGAGAGAATGCCCAGGACAATAAACTCAGATATGAGCCAAACTTTGTGCAATTTTCTGCTACATGGTCAAGAGAAGTTATTTGAAACTAAACTGTCATTTGTTCGTTCAACTTTTGGAGACCTTATCATGCAGGTCAATCCCTACCAATGCATTCACAAAGTCATAAGTTTTATCAAATCTGCAACAAAAGCCTTATGGGCCACATCAGTTTTTACCACTATCCCTGTCACCTCAGCTCCTACTCCATCCCATTTTTCTGACATGCAGTGACATTGGAAAGACTTTTGGGAATTATATATTCATGATATATATATAATGAATAAATATATATTCATGATATATATATATAATATATATATAATTTGAATTCTTTTTTAAAGAAGGCCCCTCAAAATTGTAAAAGCTTCTGAATTCATAAAACCTGACTCAGAAAAGAAATTCATGATCATCTTAAGAGCCTTCCTTTTTAATTAAAATAAAATCCAATCTCTTCATGATGCACTGCTTGCCTACACTTCCAATATAACTTACATCTCTCTCCCCCTGACAATCCAGACTCCAAGCGTTTTGATCTTTGGATTTTTTTTAAACAGCTCAAGTTCTTTTTCAGCTGTTGCACAGACCCTCATCTCTATTGTGAAGGCTTTTCAGCTTTTCTTTGCGCATATGCCATCTTATATAAAATAGAGCCCTCCATCCACTCTGCCATTTCCTAAGTTCTTGGCTTCTTTTGTTTCCTTGAACACAGTTGTGTATAAAATAGACTTAAAATGTTTTTTTTTTATCATCCAATTCATTATTTGGCTTAACTCACTGGGGTTTTTTCATATTGGAATGAGAGTTCCCAAAAGGTAGAGCCATGTCTGTGGGTTTCACCATTCTCTCCTGGCCTATTTCTAGCTCATAAATAGGTGTTCATTGACAGTCTGAATTGATCAACTTTAACTAGGACCAAGACACTTGTAAGCAAGTCTATCTCATCCCAATAATAAACTCACTGTGTGCCCCTTTCTCAAAGTCTCCATTGTACACCTTTTCTATTCGGCTCCTGCTTCTCTCCAGCATGAGATTTACACATCTGTTTTCCTTCCTTCTTCCTGTTACAAAGTCAGAAGTGGCTGAGTTGCCAAGGAAACCTCGTACTTCCACAGCGCTCTGGTTCCCTTTCCCTCCACCCCCACAGGGAAATGTCTACCTCGCACATTCAGTCTCTATCATATCCTATTTAGCATTTGCTTGGCTCTAATGTCCTCCATCTTTAAAAAAAAAAAAAAGAATCTTCCCTTTGGCATATGATTTCCTGTGGCAATATTATGCACCTTCTATCCCACATGTTCACATGAACATCTTGAAAGAGTTATGACCACATGCTGTACTGAAGTTCTTAGTGATCATTTTTCTTCAGGAAACTCTGTTTAAGTTCTGCACCATGTATTCCTTCCATTGTTGGCCTCTACGTAGCCAAATTTCTCATACTCAGTCTTCTAGAAAGACATATTGATTTATTTTGTCTACAACCAAAGCAACCTTTTGAAATATTAGAACAATTGTATATTGTACATTTTAAAGCATTTTATGGATAAAGAGGAATCAACAAAGCTTCGACTAGGCTTGATATGTTGCCCTAAGACATGCTTAGCAAGTAGTGGAATTAGAATGAGAGCCCATCCAGGCTGACCCATAGGCTCCACCCTTAATCATTCTGGCGTATTTTCTCTTCCTTTAGTCATTTTCTTCTCTCCATATCTATGACATTCATTCCTACATTCTTTCCTCCCAATTTCCACATCCTCCTTTTTTTCTGTGGACTTTGCTACCTATTGCTCTTCTGTCAAACACTTAAATGTTAGAATGCTTCAGGGCTCAGTCCTGAGCTCTCTGTTCTTGTCATTCTATATACTTTTCCAATTTAATATCATTATTTTTTTAAAGATTTTATTTATTTATTCATGAGAGACAGAGACAGAGAGAGAGGCAGAGACACAGGCAGAGGGAGAAGCAGGTTCCTCACAGGCAGCCTGATGGGGGACTTCATCTCTGGACCCCAACGTGACACCCTGAGCCAAAGGCAGATGGTCAACTGCTAAGCCATCCGGGTGTCCTTGACATCATTATTTATATGGTGATAATCCCAAATGTATATCTCCTGGCTAGACCCATCTTACCAACTCTGTAGGTTACATATTCAACTTGTATTGTCTGCGACAGCTCAGCCATAATGTGTCCAAGTCAGAACTTGTGATATTCCCCCCAAAGTCCCCTCCTCCTGCCAGCATCATTTCACAGAAAGGCCCTGATATTTACCTGATTACTTGAAAAAAAAATCAAATAAAACATGAATCCTTGTCATCTTACTCTTTCTCACACACACAGTTAGTAATATTTTCTGTCCTTTCTACCACCAAAATATACCCCAAATCTGTCCTCTGCTCTGCATCCACTCAGCCATCACCCCCATGCAATCCCCACCTTTCTCATCCTACAAAGACTCCTGAATTTTTTTCTTGCCTACCATAAGTATAGTGTACAAGAAGGGGGGGGGGGATAAAACAACTTTCAGAAGTTCAAATTTCAAATCAAATTTCCTTAAAGACACTTTCATGGTTCTTTATTAATGATAAAGCTAATCTACATGCTGATGCCCTGATATAAACTAAATAATCTTTCCTTTGCCTCTCATCTAGCCTCGGCTCATAAAGTTCTCCCACATCCATTTACCCAGATATTTCCCAAATACTATTTTGTTGTCAAAGCTTTGCACATTCGGCATCCACTCATTTTCCCATACATTCAAGCTCTCTTTCTAATCCTGGACAGCTGTTTGGCAAATAACAAAGAGATTCATGCAATAGTCCACAGAACTTGTCAAAGTCAGAAAATAAAGAGCTCCTCGTGGGACCTGCAAAAATGAACTCTCAAGGTAGGAGGGGGAAAGCAGAAACTTGAGAGGAAAATAGCTGAGGACGTTGAAAGAAACTAAACTGTTGGGATGCCTGGGCAGCTCAGTAGTTGAGCCTCTTCCTTCCCTGGGTCTAGGGTTAGAGTCCCTCATTGGGCTCCCCACGGGGAGTCTGCTTCTCCCTCTGCCTATGTCTCTGCCTCTCTCTCTCTCTGTGTGTGTGTGTCTCTCATGAATAAATAAATAAAATCTTTAAAAAAAAAAAAAGAAATGAAACTGTTATTGAGGAGAGCTAAGTTTAAAATAATTTAAAGGCATTCACTTAGTAAACCAAAAATAATTATACTTTAATCACAGATCTGTGATGTACATGGCCCATCAGAAACATCACATCAATGTACTAATTAGTAACACTAATTAATGTGTTAGAGATAGAGTATTCTCTCTGGGCTTCAGAACACCTTTTCTTCTCAGTTTACATTAAATCAGAAGCATTCACCTTGATTTTAATTATTGTGCCTTAGTATCTCCAGATAATTCAAAAATTTTTAAAAAGGAACAGATAGCATTTTTAACTCACTCTTTCTTTTACAAGCCTTATTTCCAGATAACCAATAACTGCTAGTTGAGGACAAAAGATGTTTGTTTGTTTTCAATTTAAGGATAGTTGACAACAGAGGTGTACAACATAATCGTTCAACAATTACAGATTTTTTTAATTCTAAAAAAAAAAAAAAGAAGAATACCTGATAAAACAGTACCTACCATAGCACATGGGAATATCAGACCAACCACTGTTACTGCAGACTATAGAGCCCATGCTTCGTCCATGTCTGCTTTCATATCCATCATAGCATTCAAAGTCCAGCTGGTCATTGAGCTGAAACCTAGTGCCACCACTTTTGAGTCTGGCGTTCACGAATACTGGCATATCACAAGTTTCTAATTCACAACAGAATTGAAGATTTTATTCATCATGTTAGTTCATAAACAACCTAACATAGTAAATCCCATCCCTAGAACAAAAAGCCTTATCAATGAATTAAACACTACACAAAATTAATCGAAAATGACCCATGATAAATTGTTGTCTTAAAATAGTAAAAGTGAAAACAATGTTTCTAGACAGCTTTTTTTTCTCATCACTAAAACCCTCTGAAAATTTATTTTAGGAACATTTTTCTCAGTTGAATTATACTTACACATTATAGTATGCTAGTAATAAAAGAGGCCATTATGGTTTATAGTTCTTCTTTCTAGAAAACTGGAATAGCATTTTGTGGATTAAGATCCCAGACTTCTTAGTAGTTATAATATATATATACCAGAGAAAAATAGATAATTAAATTAAAAAGATTGATGTGTTTATTATGTAAGACATTTTCTCTTCCATAACAAGAAATCTTGAAATGTAAAATTAATTACAATTAAATTAAATCACTCTACTAATACCTTTCACAAAGTTCAAATTTCAATTCTGGAAGGAGCTAGGAGAGTTGTCAAAGCCAGAAACATGTTTATGCTTGAATATTTGTTAAAATTCAAGTGTTTCTTGAAAGCAATACCTATGTGTCATTAGTGCTTGCCTCTTTGCTTTTTCTATTCTATAAACGTCATTTTAAATGCATGGGGAAAAAAAGAATATTCATGAGCAATTTGTATGTAAAAAAGCTTGACCCAGAATCAGGAAGATGAACGGTGTAAGGATAGGATTATTTTACATGTGGAATGAAACTGCTCTATAGTTATCTCCAGATGTGCCTAGAATCTCAATGCTAACCCCTGGCCATGATAAGCATGGGAGGTGGTACCTAGTGATTTATAATTTGCTGTACAAAATTCCCTTGGAGATACCCTGTACAAGCTTGTCTACATTTTGTAGGAATATATAGATTTGTGGCTTACACCTGGTTTAACTGGTCACACAAACTAGTTTTAAATATATAAGGACATATGAGACTTTTGTAAATTTGTGTATTAGCCTCCAAGAAAATGAGATGCCTTTCATATATCTTGGTGGTTTGGAACCAAAGGTGAAGAATGTCCTGAGGAATGATACTGGATAGCTATACCTGTAAGTGGTCAAATTTCCCTACTCTCCTGCCATGTCCTTAACCTTTACAAAACCTAATGTAAATCTAGGCTGTGGAGTCCTGTTAATCTTCTTAATCATCAGAAACTCTAAAATTGATGTAATAACCTAGAGAACCTACAAAAATACTACCAAACTAATAGTACATTAAGCAAGATCATGATAAAATGTCAATACATTAAATAAAGTTGTATTTTTATACAATAATAATGGGAAGTGGAAAATCAAAACTTTAAATTTGTAATAGTAGTAATAGGAAAAGCCTGTGCCACAAAAGGAAAGATTTAACAAAATATGTACATGACCTGTAGTGTGAAAATTATATAACCTTCCTGAGAAAAATTAAAGGAGACCTAAGTAAATGGAGAGCTAAAACAAGTTCTTAAATTAGAGGAAAAAATATTCTTACAATCAACTATTGCTAAAGTGATACACAGATTCACTGAGTTCCAGTGAAAATCCTGGCAGGCTTCCTGTAGAAATTAACGGGGTAATACTAAAACTCAAAGAAAATGGAGAACAGCTAGAAAAGCCAAAAATACATAAAAAATTACTGTATGAATTTTCTACTGCAGTTACAAAAAAAATCCACATACTTACAGGCTTAAACAACACTAATCTGCTTCTTAAAATTTTGTCAGTTCAAAATCTGATCGATAGGTCACTGAATTAAATCAAGGTGTTACAGGACTGTGTTCCTTTCTTGAGGCTCCAAGGAAGAATCTGTTTATCTTTTCCAGCTTCTAGAGGCTTCTTGCATTTATTGGCTCATGGTGTCTTTCTCCATCTTTAAAGTCAGCAACTTCCTCTCTGATCCTTCTTCTACCTCATCTGTCTCTGTCAGTCTGTCTGTCTCTCTTGCTCTGACTCTCCCCATCCCCCTCCTCTTTTCCATATGGTATGACCCTGAGCCCATTTAGAAAGTCAAGAATAACTTCTCCATTTCAAGGCCTTTAACATTAATGATATCTGAAATGTTCCTTTCTCCATGTAAGGTACCATAATCACAGGTACCTTGTGATTGGACATGGGCATTGTTGGGGAGGCCATTATTCTACCTTCCACAATTAAGAACAAATTGGAGCACTCACACTACAGTAAATCAAGGCAGGGCATCATGATATATGGATAAATATATAAATTTGTGGGAAAGAATAAAAAGTCCAGAAGTAGACAAAAACACATACACATCTATATTCAGTGGATTTCTGACAAATATGACAAGTCACCCAGTGAGCAGAAGGATACCATTTCCAACAAATTGTGCTAAACAACTGAAAATCCATATGAGAAAAAAGATGAACCCTATTCCATATACAAAATACCTGGAAATCAATCATAGACATGAATGTAAAAGTACATATGTAAACTTTCCAGAAAAAAAAGTATGACAAAACTTTGCAACTTTGAAGCTGGGAAAAAATGTCCTATGTAGAGCACAAAATAAATAATTAAAAAATCTGTCAATTTGAATTTCATTGAAAGCTAAGCCCTATGTTCCTGGAAATAAAACTGTTAGAAACTCAAAAGATAAGACACAAAATGTGAAAAAAATTTGCAAATCACATACTTGATAAAGGAATTGTTTCTTAAATATCAAAGTGTCTATTACAACTGAATTATAAGACAAACTACCTACTTCATTTGGTAACAAATTAAGTTTCACAGAAGGAAATATAACAATGGCAAAAAGCAGGTGAAAAGGTGTTCGCCAACATTAGTCACCCAGCAAAGTAAAATTAAAGCAAAATGATATACCATAATATGTACATGATAGTGATTAAAATTTAAAACTTGACCATCCTGTTTGTTAATAAAGATGAGAGTCAACTGGAATTCTCATACACTGCTTATGGGAAAGTAAAATGTTAGTTAACTTGAAATTCAGCATGGCAGCCTCTTACAGATTTAATTATGCACATAACCCAGCAATTTTCCTTTTAGGTATTCAACTGTTTTTCCTTTAAGTATTTATCATTTAGGTAAATATATGGTCATTCAAAGACTTTAATTTGAATGTTCACAAATAACTCAATCATAAGTGCCTAAACCTGGAAAAAAATTGCCCAAATCTGGAAATACTCCAAAAGTCCACCCATATTAGAATGGATAAACAAATTATATCCATATAATGCTATAGGAGTCCATGATGGAAAGAAATGAGCTACTGATACAAGAAACAGCACAGAAGAATGTCACAGACATTATGCTAAAATAAAGCAGCCAGATTTTAGAATCCATTTCTATAAAACCATTGATACACAACTGCAGAAAAGAAATGCTAATCTATATTAACAAGAATATCAGCTGCCTGGTGTAGTGTTACTGGGGAAGCCTGAATGACAAGAGAATAGAACAGGTCAGAAGATGGAAACTGTCTCTTGCTTGACTGGGTTTCTGGTTACGTAGAGGTGTGCGTTTGACAAATCATTGGCCTACATGCCAATATGTGTGAGTTTTATTGTATGTAATTCATACTGGCATAAAGATGATTTTTTTAAATGGACATTTGGAAACTAAACATGTAGTTGTCAAAAAAAAAATTGTAAGTGATTAAGTCACTAGCAGGAAAAAAAAGCCAAAACACTCTGTCTGAATAAAAAATAAAACATGAAAATATATGGAATTATGAGGAAAATGTTTCCCAGAAAATCAAGCCAAATAACAAGAAATTCCAAACAAAAAGAACAAAAAAATGTTAAGAAATAAAAATAGTGAGACAGGGAACCTGAAGGCCTCTATAAAAATCTGGTTTTTGTTCCTTTTCCTGCTTCTATTCTTGCTAGGTCCCGCACCCCCATGCCAATTTATGCATATCTTGTCAAGCAAATAGCATATGTCCTCTTTGTAAGGGACAAGAAATTGATGACTTCTCTAAAGTAGATGACATCTAAGAAAGGACCAAGTGAAAATGACCCGATTGTGTTATCACATGCATATTTGAGACCACTGGGGCTAGACCTCTTGACGCCAAGGCCTCCTGGTTCCAAAGAATCATACTTGGACTCTCGTTTTTGTTCTAACCAGTTCCTGGAAGCCTGAGGAGATGCATAGTCCAGACCACCATCCTCGATTAAAAAAAAAAACAACGGGATCCCTGGGTGGCGCAGCGGTTTGGCGCCTGCCTTTGGCCCAGGGCGCGATCCTGGAAACCCGGGATCGAATCCCACGTCGGGCTCCCGGTGCATGGAGCCTGCTTCTCCCTCTGCCTGTGTCTCTGCCTCTCTCTCTCTCTGTGTGTGTGACTATCATAAATAAATTAAAAAAAAAAAATCCCAGACCCCAAAAAATACAAGACTCATTTCCCAGACAATGTAACTGCTCTCTCCATATCTTCAGTAAACTCTGCTTTCACATCCTGCTGGCTCATGTTTGACTTCCAACCTACACAAAGCCAAGGATCTTAGCTGGTCCTGTGGGACTTCTTCTGGGTCCCTGGACCCAGCCTACCAGCATCAACAGCACAAGGAATGAGTGATGTCAGCAAGATGGTAGATAAAATATGCCTCACCATATCCACCCCAACAAGGAGGTGACATCTATTTATAGACAAAAGTACCTTTGTGGGAGATGTGGGATCCAAGTAGGAGATCGTGAAACTCTAGTGCAGTTCAAGAACAAAGAGAGTTGTTTTAAGAAGATAGGCCTGAAGCCACCTGGGTAGCTCAGTGGTTGAGCATCTGCCTTTGGCTCAGGGTGATCTCAGAGTCCTGGGATCGAGTCCCACATTGGGCTCCCCTGCAGGGAGCCTGCTTCTCCCTCTGCCTATGTCTCTGCCTCTCTCTCATGAATTAAAAAAATAAAATCTTTTAAAAAAAGAAGAAGACAGGCCTGCCCATGCCTGGTCCTA